CCTCATGTTTTATATGGGAAGGATATCAACCATAAAAAGTGATAACAGTGATGAAGAAGCCACTTACAAGGAGCCAGTCAGGACTGCAAATATCACGTTGATGATATCAGCACCTGTATATCCTTTATCCAATATCAACTTCGAGCCATACCATATTCCCAAACCGTACCCACAAAACATGATAAGCATTACGGTACCAAGACCTAATCCGGAAGCTATACCCTCCTGAACACTAGCGTCATAAGCCTTCTTGAGAGATTTCTTGTATTTGTCCACAGATAGTTTTTCCCCAGTAAAAGATGCAACCTAAACAAGAAAACATCGGATTGTAAATTTAGATTTCCAATTGAAGACCATATATAAATTATTTAGTGTCATATGTTACTTACTGTTCTGATTGAACCAATTGTTTGCTCCACTACAACTGCAGCATCTGCGTAAGCTGTTTGTCCCTTTGATGACATCTTCGATATTACTGTGGACATGGCTGCCCCAGCTAACACAAGGGGAGGAATTGTGGTTAGCATAACAAGGGTGAGAAGCCATCCTTGAATGAATGCAACTATAAATCCCCCAAAGAATGAAGATATCAGCTGCAAGAACTTGCCAACCTATAAGAATAGGAGGGAACTCGAATCAGTTATCTGGTGAAGTTGTATTATTGTAACTACTTAGTTGAGCCAAATTTCCTTATTACCTGTACACACTAGTAGTTGAGAAAGTTTTAAATATGACATTTAGGAAGAGGCTATTAGAGAAAAAGTTTGTGTCGTGGAAAAGAAAATGATTTTTTAACTAAAATTATGTTTGAAACAGAGTAAGAAGAAACTGGAAAAGAAAATGAAATGTTATGCATTCAATGGTTAAGGTTTCCTTCTGTCATCCCTCAGAAAAAGAATTCATTTTGTCTCTATATATGAATGCACATTCAACAAAAGTGAATAATTACTAACAGCACCACTAAACAATTATTCCATCTTTAAATGATATAAATAGATGCATGTAACACGTCCTTTATATTATCCAAAAAATGTCAACTATGTTATCAAGTGGATTAATGTATATTAGAGGAACTTCCAGTTGTTAAGAAGCAGCATCAAAATGGTCAAATGAAATTCATGGAGATGAAGTTAATACCTTCTCTCCCATTGCATCTTGAATGAGAACAGTGTCGCCGGACATCCTCCCAACAACTTCTCCAGTATTTGTTTCCGTATCGAAGAATGCAATTTCTTGCCGTAGTATGGTTTTCAAGTACAAATTCCGTATTCTCGCAGCTTGCCTTTCCCCAGTTGCCATCCAACAAGACACCTCTGTCAAAAACAAGGGGTTTCATATTCAAATCTCCTAAACTGCATTAATTATGTCTTTGAATCTTTAACATGTACAAGTATTTTGATACACTCTTCAAGAATGAAAAAGGCATCCTGAACTACTTACGAAAGAATGAAGCTATCCCCGCTCCCACAGCTAAGTAGACAAATTGAAGACATACCTGAAAACACGAGTATAAATGGTGAACAATATAATTGGAAATAAAAATAAAAATTGTTTTTTAATGGTTCGCAAATTTCTGATTCCAGAGTTCCCCTTCTTGATATGATACAACAATTTCTACATATTACTGAAACGCTTTTGTTTCCAAAGGGACATGAAGTTAAATGATTAACAATATATCAAAAGATAAAATGAAAAGTGTATTAATGTTATAATGTAAAGGAAAAGGGTTAGTTCCCTATTCTCCATATGGTTCATTGTTCTCATAAGCTATTATCACTGGTCTTATACCTGTCAAGGTTCAGTTGCTTTGCTAGAGAATTAGCATGGCACCACAACTTGAAAGGCATGCTTGAATCTAACTTATATTATTGAGAATAGACCCGCGACTGAAAATTTATGGTTGTGGATGGTGACCCCAGAAAAGGGTCAACCAAATTTCACTCAAGAGGCCTATGCGCAACAAAAGAACTACAGAGGCTAGTGAGTTCGATTTGGCGACATGGGGTCTATTGGCAATTTTGTTGAAAACGTGCATAGCAGGAATAGGACCATTGGTCGACTGATAGGGAGTCATCAGTCGACTGATTCGGTCGCCAGAAATTGAGTTACAGGGATACTTCTGGTCGGTCGACTGATAGGGTCTGATCAGTCGACCGATAACGGTCTAAATGGGTTTTCAGCCTGTTTCCTAATCTGTTTTGGAATTTAGGTATATAAATAGAAACATGTTTTGTTAGGGTTTTTTATCAGAGAAAAGAGTTATTATTAGAGACTTTTGAGCACTTTGAGAGGGAGATTCTTTAAGGGTGAGTAAGATCTTGTTAGTTAGGGTTATTGTGATTGTTTGAGAGTTGTAACCCATTGTATTTCTCCTCCATATAGTGAAATCTCCCCATCATCTCCCCGTGAACGTAGGCAACTTGCCGAACAACGTATATCTCTGTGTTTGTGATTGATTTTGGTCGTTTACATTGTGGATTGTGCTCGTTGTGACTCTTCGTACATTGCTTACCAACTCGTCGTGGATTGAGTCCGCTTCCGCCGGGCGCAACAAATTTACCCAATAAATTTATCTTTTTACTAAACAAAGTAAGATCTCATACCTTGTTGACTCTATGAACAACTTCATGGATATCACTAGCTCCTCCAAAAGATTGAATCACATTCCCAAAAAGAACCGTCATGAGAGGCAAAGCAGCCCCATTTGCCAAAGCACCGATCGTGCCGGCGATCATCAGAAGCACATCAGTCGAGTCCGCAAACGATAAAAGCTTGTAAAATGGAACTGAGTGTTTAGCCTCATCCTCTTCCTTCCCTGCAGAATTAGTCCTTGAAGATGCTTCATTTGATCCATTTCCGTTCTCTTTTGCCATCCTGCCAGCTGAAGAACTAGTTCTATCCTTCTCTTCTCCCACACCCATCAATTTCTCAATCTGTGTCAATAAAAAAGAGAATATGAGGCAAAGAGAGCAGGGATTCATGGGTACTGACCACAAGTTGAGATGTAATCAGGGGGGGGAAAAAGACTAAAAACTGCAGGAGACCAAATAAGGAGAAACAAAAAGGGCATCAAGAAAATAATAGGGAAAAAAAGAGAAAGATTCATCATCCATTTATAAAGGAGTTACGATGACCTCAGAACTGCCCGTAGTGTTTATAAAGCAAAAGAATGATATGATGGCTTCTCAACAGCAAATACATGATTACAGAATACTCTAACTCAAATACCTGCCATAAATCACAAACACAGAACAATAGATGAAGAATAAAATTCCATGGGGGTGGGGTGGTGGTGGGGCGCTTTGCCATCCACTATTTGGGCAAAAAGAAAAAAGAAAAAGCAAGAACCAATGATGACACGTCGCCAACCACCAAGAGAAGGAAAAGGCGAGAGAACAGTTCATATGGGATGTCAACCGCAAGCCCATTTCTTGTTTAACCCTTACAAAGCTATACGCAGCTTGTGCTCGGAATAAATATATAACTAATGCCCATGAAGCAAAATTAATAAGATCCCGCTCAGAACTTACCAGGGCTGAAGAAGATGCTGCAAGAGTAATGGGGACTTGGGCTCACAGCCTGTGACTTTTTAAACACCTCAAAGCGTTATGGTGTTTCCTTGGAGAGCAAGGATCTTAGGGACACAGCTACGACTTACAAATTAAAATTTCTCAAGAGTCAAAGGAAAGTTTTCGTTATGTGGAGCTTTCACCAACTTTCTCCGCTCCTTAATTACGAAGTTTTTCTATTAATTACCATTTTGCCTTTCAATATTTGAACGGTTGGGTTTTGTTTTAGAGTTGTTTGCTCATGGTTTGCTTTGATCAGTCATAGAGATCGTAATCAGTTATTGTATTATTGTTACTTTGTTGAAGTGCCGCTTTGACCAGAACTCCTATTCCTCTGCTTCCCACTAGTGTTTGGTCAGCCGACTCAGCCCACTAGAATTTGTCCCTGGGATTCGGATCCTCTCCACTACAAAAAAAATAGTGGATGGACCACTACATAATCACAGTCATTGATTATCTAGTTGATGGTTATGATTTTTTCTTTTAGTGTAAATTATAATCACAGTCATTGATTATCTAGTTGATGGTTATGATTTTTTCTTTTAGTGTAAATTAGGAATGAGTGCAATACACGGGGGTATGGTAAGTGTTAGATTTAGATTGTATCATAACCGCCTACTAAATAATCAACGCTTGAGATTAAAAATAGTGGTTTCTCCACTATTTTTTTGTAGTGGAGAGGATCCAAATCCCTGACCACAGGAGCAGAATTTGGATGCTTTTCGCGGCCACTTCCTTCTCTATTATAAAGGAAATAAATTTTCAGTTATATTTTTTGGTAATACATATAAAATGGAATTTGTTTTTAATGTAACTAATGCTTTATTTTTGCCAAATCTTTCTAAAATATATTTTTAAAATAGAATTAGGATGTATTTTAAATTAGAATTTGGATAGGTTTAATAGTAATTTAACAAATATTCATGGTTAAAAAGTTCTAAAATTAACCCAAAACAAAAGTAATTTAACAAATATCCCTTGGAGTGCAAGATTCATGCATATTCAAGGTAGCCAAACAACGATACATGGAACAAAAAGTATCCACGACTAATACGACATGAACCCAAAACAAGAGAAGCTAGCTAATAGCCCCAGCTCTCTTGAAGACACCAAATAAAGAAAATGCATCAATTTCCTCTAACATAGATATGTCCTCTAGCATCAACCAAGACCATCTTTTTGACAGCAAGAGGCAGCTCAGATTTGTTAAATTAGAAGTGAAGAGAATCCAGATTGTGTCCGTTCCTGACTAAGCAGTCAGCAACATGATTAGTCCCCCCTTAGCAACGAAGCGGTTAATATATGAATGTTATATAGGCATCGTCCGATGAAAATTTTCACGTTTACAAAACAAAAGGTGTTAACATGCAAATTTAATATATAAACCATCTTTAAAGGATTTATTGTTAAGTTATATATAAACCATCTTTAAAGGATTTATTGTCAAGTTATATATAAACCATCTTTAAAGGATTTATTGTTGCAAATCAACCATATTTAGTGAAGTTTTTTCAGTAACTATACCTGATCTCCGCTAAGGCTCCTCTCTCTAATATACTTGGTATTTAACAAATAATCATTATAGCAAAATCGATTAAACTTAACTTAAAAGAGAATTCATGCTATTGATAGTAACAAAAAATAATTTGAAGGTGATTTATATATAAATCAACAATCTAAAATGATTTCTGTTGAATGACCATATTTTAAAGTTGATTTCTACAAAAAAGGACATTTAGCAATAATATGTTTTCTGGATATTTCCTTATGTAGACATAGAGGATGCATCTTGTTTTGTTAACGAAAACCATAATGAGAACTTTATACTCATTTCTAAAATTTCCAAATAAAGTTCAAAGAAAAAGAAAAACAACCCAGCTTAATTTTTTTTTTTTTTTTTTAGAAAAACAACCCAGCTTAAATTAAGGTTAATATATCCTCCTTGAAGTCGGTAGACGTTGTTCAATAAAGATTAAGCATTCTATTGGAAATTTATATTTATATAATTGGGTCTACAACTGTTGAATACCTTTTCAAAGCTATAGTAAAATAGTTGAATATATATAAACCAAGACAGGGAAAAATCACGCCGCCGAGGTACCCTGTTGGTACTTTCCTCCCTCATGAAATCGTGCCTGTCAGTTGGCCCGCGTTTGATTCCCGGAAGCTTCACTTTATAAATTTTCCTCCCATAAATTGCTTCCTAACTCATCTAGAGTTGACCCCTCAAATTATAAAAATTACTACCGTAGCTGAATAAATTATTTTAAAATGAGTCCCTTTAATAAAGAGTAGAAGTAATAATTGGAATCATTAACTTTAAATGATTATGATAATCGTTATTTTGAAATGAGTTCCTTTAATAAAGAAATTAAAGAGTAGAAATAATAATTAGAATCATTAACTTTAAATGATTATGAAAATCGTGAGACCTGATGACAAGTTTAATGAATTGAGGGTTTTATTTGAAAATAAGTAATTTAGGTACATTACAGCTCCCAAAAATTTAAAATAGATTTTTCTCAACAAATTGCTTAACAATTATTTTTTTATTTGACTTCTCCATACAAATGTTGCGGTAACGAGCGGGGCAATTTTGCTTATAGTTACTAAAGTTATTAGGTTTATCACTACGGTTTTTCTATAGAGTGCCCTTGGGCACTCTATAAGAGAGGAGAGAGATAGAGAGAAATGAATGAGGAGGGGGGCCCCCTGATTTGCATTGGGATCCTCTCTTCATTCATTTCTCTCTATCTCTCTCCTCTCTTATAGAGTGCCCAAGGGCACTCTATAGAAAAACCGTTATCACTATGGAAAGTCTTGTCATAGCTGCGGTATAAAATTTATATACATAATTACTGGAACTAAATGAGCACAAACTTTGGTATGACACTAGCCTATTGATCCTCAAGTCATGGGTTTGAAACTTTGAATCCTGTCACCTTCTGTGTTTATTTTTCGAATATGAGTCCTTTACATCTTTCATATTTTGAAATTTACACCTCAAATAATAAAAATTGTTCCTCAAGTCATGGGTTCGAATCATGCCACCTTCTGTGTTTATTTTTCGAATATGAGTCCTTTAAATCTTTCACATTTTGAAATGTATACCTCAAATAATAAAAATTGTTATTAAGTCCTATACTCTTTAGGTTAATTAGAAATTAACCCTTCAAATCACTACATTGACATTAGGTTCCTTAATATTTAAAAAGTTATTTTGAAATTATTTCCTTTGATAAAAAGTAGAAGTAACCAATATTACTTCCTTCAATAAAAAGTAGAAGTAACCAAAGTTAAATCTTTATATATTTAAAAATTATTGCTAGAATTAGAGGACCTAATAATATTTCTATTAACTTGAGGAACTAATTCAAAAAGTATTTTGGAATATGAGAATACAATAGCAATTTCAATGATTTTGATGCCTATCTACTTAAAAGAAAAAAAGTTTAATTTGTATTTTAACAAATAGACTCAAAATTTACTCTATTTATTTTGAAAAGCATGTACTTCAGACTTCTTCTTTTTTCCCACAATATTAGTTACTTATAACTCTTATAATTTGAGATTAATCCCTCAAATCATGAAAAGTTCTACTATGTCCTGTCGATTCTTAACTTATTTAGAAATTGACCCTCTCAAATAATTAAAATCAATATTATATCCTTCAGTTCTTAAATTATATAGAAATGAGTCCCTCTAATAAAGAGTAAAAGTAATAACCCGAGTCGTTAATTTGAAAAAGATTTTGAAAATTGTGAGGCCTAATAATAAATACAATGAGTTGAGCAATTTATTTAAAAATAAGTAACTATCTATATTATATCTTCCAAATATATTTTTATTAACAAATTAAAAAAAAAATTCTCTAAGCAAAATGCTTAACCATTATTTTTTAGGTTGTTCACATAAATGCCGCGGCAACTTACAGGTCAATTTTGCTCGTTAAGATCTACAATTTTTTAAAACAGGGACAGTGTAACTTGGGTCCAAGACTATTCAATTATATATATTCATAAAAGAAAACTATGTACAAGAATCTTGTTATACTCGATACATGATTAGTTACCGATAACAGCAACTATTTTTTCTCAAAAAAAATAGTTAAGAAAAAAATAGTTGCCTCTTTATCTGGATAACATTTTGCAATGTTTTATTGATCGAAGCGACTGTAGACTATGGCTAGTAGGGCCTGGCATATTCGGTTCGGTCGGTTTAACCCAATCCGTATCCAATCCGATTCGAATTCTCAAAACTTTCA